AAGACATTCCAACACAGGGAGAAAATACTAGAAACAAATACAGGCTGAACAAAAATCTGCGTAAAGTGTCTACTCTTTGAATATGACATAAATTCAGTTACTCCACATTGCCTAAAACACTGATTTTGAGGTAATGGTAATTGTATCTATTATGTTCTCTGGGGCATGATAAGTTGAGGTAGGTGTTAGGAGATACTATTCATTAAATAAATATTTATGGAACTCCTACTGTGTCCTGGGCACTGTGTTCTGCAGTTGAAACACAGAGATGAGCAGGTCAGGGCCCCTTCCATCCAGAACTATGTTGTCTAATACAATAGCCACCACCATGTGCAGCTACTGAGCACCTGCAATATAGCCAGTCCTAACTGAGATATACTGTAAGCATAAAGCACACTGGATTTCAAGATTTAGTAAAAAAATATATATTATATTTATTATATTATATTACATTGTATTACATTGCATTATATTATATATTATATTATCTATATACAGATGCTCCTCGAATTATGATGGGGTTATGTCCTGATAAACCTATCATAAGTTGAAGCTATTGTAAGCCAAAAATGCATTTAACACACCTAACCTATCAAAAACCATAACTTAGCCTAGTTTAACTTAAATGTTCTCAGAACACTTACATTACCCTACAGTTGGGCACAATCATCAAATACCAAGTCTATTTTATAATAAAGAGTTGAGTATCTTACGTAATTTATTGAATACTGTACTGACAGTGAAAAGCAGAATTGTTGTATGGCTATCACTTTCATACCATTGCAAAGTTGAAAAATCATAAGTCAAACCGTCATAAGTTGGGAGCCCTGCATTTATAAATATATATTACATACACAAATATATATAATCTTACTAATAATTTTATATTGATTAGTGTTTAATAATATTTTGGATATGTTAGGCTTTAAGTATATTAAATTAATTTCACTTGTTTATTATTACTTTTTTAATGTGGCTGCTAGAAAATTTGATATTGAATATGTAACTCCCATTATGTCTCTATTGAACAATGGTGCTCTGGTTGCTCTTGATTGGCTGCCAGTTAGCCATTCACTCCTCAGATTGTTCAATTTAAGCAGCCTGCTTGCCAGGATCCGTGCATCCTCTACTGTTACTACCTAGAGTTTCCACCAGAGGGCAACCTTGTCTTCCAATGTTTCAATTCTGGACATTGAATCTTATTTTGTGTATATTTGTAATTATCTACTTTGAGTCTATTTTGCTTTTGGCTCTGTGCAAGGCTCTGGCAACACATTTACGGTTCCTTCCATCAAGGATTTTTCAATCTATCATGGAAGGATGTACACAGAATTAAAAATGATATGTAAAAAGAAAACCTATTTTATTAATGTGCACTATAAATGTTCACATGATCATCAACTTTCCCTGGTGACTTTTTCCTTAGTAATTAATTAAATAGTTTCAAGAGCCCAACCTACATAACTGGAATTTAAGTAGTCTAGCTCTCTCCCCAGAATCTCCTGGACAGAGAAGTGATGCAAGTTTGTGCTTACATATGCCAGTGGTTGATATTATCTCTTGCTTCAAATTTCTGCAATAAGCACACTGTTTGGGTCACCTTGAGGCAGCTCTCTACCATAACAGGTTTCTTACTGGTCATCACTTTCAGGCTCTGGATTTCTGTCATGTTGCCGCTAGAAGCTGTTCACTCTCCCTAGAACTTTCTCCTCTCATCTCCTCTCTAAATCCAGAGCCTCAACCTCTATCTCCTGGGAGATAACTCCACCTGCAGAGGATGTGGCACTGGCTGGGATGCATGGGGGATGAGGTACCTTCTACCAACTCTCCTCTGGGACCCACTGGGGTGGCATCTAGAAGTGGGTGCCCAGCTTGAGGCCTGGTACAGTGCGCACACCCTTCTGTGGGTAGCCATAGCTTCCACCAAGCTGCTTAGTTCAGGGCCCCGTCCTCCACGTCTGTGTCGTAGCTGTGCTCCAGCTCTTCCTCCTTGATCTTGGCTGAGCTGGTGGTGATGGCTATGAAGTGGGCAAAGAGCTTGACATGCTGGACCAGAGGGATTGTGATAGGAGTTGCTTCACGGGGACAGCCCTGGGCACCGGTACCATTGACAGGCAGCCCCAGTAGTCTGTAAATGGTAGATGCTGCTCTCTTTAGCCCCTTGGGTCTGTTGGGCTTGGGCTCTTCAGCCATGTTGATGGCCAAGGTCTGCGGAGCCAGCACCCGCCCATTCTCTCCCAGCACAGCTGCTGGGGCATGATACTCGTTGGCAAGTTGGACAAAAACATAGCTCTTGTGCACTGAACAGCTCGCCACACGGCCATACTTGGAGAAGATAGTCTCCACATCTGAATTCTTCACTATAGCTGTGTTGAGGTTTCCGATGAAGACCCGAGAATTGATGGACTTGGGGTCATTCTTGTTGGTTACATTGCTTGTCTGGATCTTCAAGGACATGGTAGCCACCAAGGTTGAGCTCATTCAGCAGTTTCCTTTTCAAGATTACAGGGTCAGCACCAGCTATCTCTGAGAATAGAGCCCACCCACTCCAAGAGCTGGTCTTGACACTTTTGTTGAAAATCATTTGACCATATAAACAAGAACTTATTTCTGGTATTCTATTTTTTCCATAGGTCTATGTATCTGTCCTTATGGCAGAACCACATCGTTTCATTACTGTAGCTTTGTGGTAAATGTTTAAATGAGGAAGTGTGAGGCCTCTAACTTTTTTCTTCTTTTTCAAGATTGTTTTAGCAATGTGGAGTCTTTTGAGATTTTATATGAATTTTAGAATGGAAATTTTTATTTCTGAAAAAGGTATCATTAAGATTTTGATAGATTTTGAATCTGTAGATTATTAAAAGGTATCATTAAGATTTTGATAGATTTTGAATCTGTAGATTATTTTGAGTAGTAATGACATTTTGATAATATTAAGGGTACCAATCCATGAACATGGGACATCTGTTCATTTATTCATGTCTTCTTTAATTTATCTCAACAATGTTTTGTAGTTTTCAGTGCACACAGCATTCACCTTCTTGGTTAAGCTGATTGCTAAGAATTTATCCTTTTTG